TCCTGGCTGCTGGTACCAAGAATGTTGATTGTAAAAAGGATTTTATTTAAAAAATAACATAGGCACAGTATTTTAAGAATAATTAAATTCTACAAAGTTTAGTGAGTAAAACAGCGTTTCTAGCCTCCCATCTCTTGAGGCAGTTCCTCACCGTCTAAATATCATGCTTATTATTGAATCTTGACATTTCTTCTATACGTTGACTTTTGATTTCCCATTACACTAATGTGAGAGGTTAGCTCTCTTTATTAACTCTCTGCTTCCACAAGCACCTACACATTTTCAACACAAAAGTACCCCTTCTCATTCCTTTATGCAATTCAGTTTTGGTTCAGTCTGTATTTGGTGCTTATGTTTTTCACAACTCTGGAATGCTGTTAGGGCTGAGATGAGCTCCTTTTTTCTCAACTTCTTTTGGGTTACACAAGCCTTTGTGTTTGTATTTAATTTTCTTTGTACTTGTAAATGTTATTTAACCTCAAGTTAATTGTCCAGTCTCCTCTCAAGGAGTTTATTCATATCAGATGATGCTTTATCCATTTCATGTTCTTGAAGGCAGTTTTTGTGATTATGAGTGTATTCTATCCGAACCAGTTGTCCAGTAGTTTTTCCCCTAGAGTATAACCCTTCACCACAATCCTAGAACTTTCCTTCATCCCTCTGCCTGTATTGGGCATCTTGCTGAATTTACTCCATGTCTTTCCATTTTTTTATTTTGTGCTGTTATTTGATGAAATAAATCGTTCTATAACTTAAAGGGAAAAAAAAGACACCTAACAGACCTAAGTAGGCAGAATTATTTAAAATATTTTTTATCACAGTTGATAATTTTTCTGGTCTATTTTAAAATTCTAGATGCAAAGTAGTTAGTCTTCAAAACTAAGAACACATTGCTTTCTCTCTTTTTTTTATTAATTTTAATGAAAGTTTACAGAGACTTTGAATTTCCATTCATTCATTGTTCCACTTTTCTTCCTGCCAACCCCTTCCCCAATTTGCTCTTCTCTTTGAAAAGTAAAATTCTTTCATTGTTACACAATCCCTCCCCAAAGTTCACTCCACTATGCAGCCTTCATTCTGGACTCCTGTTGTGACAATAATACCTAATCATATATCTCTTTTAAACAGTTCTCTCCCTCCTCTGTTTCAATGCAGTATACATTATTTATCCCCTTTTTCTCAGTCTCCCCTCAACCCTGATGTCAGTCCAATTTTACAACAGTGGCACTATGCAATATTTGTCCTTTTGTGACTGAGATATTTCACTCAGCATAATGTCCTCCAGGGTTAACCGATTTGTATAATATTTCATGACTTCCTTGTTTTTCAATGCAGCATAATATTCCATTGTGTGAATATACCAGAGTTCCTCTATCCATTCATTTGTTGATGGGCACTTAGGTTGTTTCCATCTCTTTGCTATTGTGAACAAAACTTCAATAAATATGGGTGTGCATATATCTGCTTGGGTGGTGGTTATGGTTTCATTAGGGTATATTCCCAGTAGTGGAATTGCTAGGTCAAATGGCATTTCTATTTGCAACTTTTAGAGAAAGTGCTATACAGCCTTCAGTAGTGGTTGCACCATTTTACACTCCCACCAACTGTGAATAAGGGTTCCAGATTCTTTACAACCTCGCCAGCATTTGATGTTTGCTGTTCTGTTAAATTTTACTATTCTTACTGGGGTGAGGTGATATCTCATAGTTGTTTTGAACACATTGCTTTCTTGCCTTTTACCTTATCTGAGTCTGAAGTGGTTCAGATTCCTAATTCTTTCTATCCTTCTAATATCCTTTTCTTTCTTTGTCTGTGCCTACCTTAACTCTCCTTTTTTTGTTATAAAGGATATCTTATCCTTCTGTTCTGAAGTTTCATGATAATTTTTTGGTGTTGGTTTATTTTTATTCATCATGGAGACGCATTCTTGGAATCTAAGAAGTCATATTGCAATTTGAGGAAATTATTTTGACTTTAAAAAAAATACTGGTTTATTCACAAAGTTCTTAGACATTGTTTTTCACACTGAATCTCTCCCATCCTTCACCTCCCCCTCCACCCATCAAATTGTTTGGACCCTGTAATTAACACCCTCCATCCCCTGCTTATCGTCACCCCTGTGCTTCCCCCCTCTCTCCCCTTAGAACATCATTCTCATTCTACAATAATAGTTTTATACAATATTTGTCTTTATGGAACTGAAATAGTCACTCAGCATAATGCTTTCCAATCCCTCCCAAATTAGATAGTGATTTACAAAATCATTGCTCCTGTCATTGTGTGAATGTACCATAGTTTCTCAATCCATTCTATTGTGGTTGGACATTTGGACTGCTTCCATGTTCCTGAGATGTTGAATAATGCTACTATGAACATTGGTGTACAAGTCTCTATGTGTCAGTTCTCATTCTCTCTGTTTTGTTTTTTAAAAAATATGAATTTTCTTTCTTGTCCATTTTCTATGTTGATTTTTATTTTAGAAGTTTTGTTACTTAAATAAAAGCTTTCTGAATTCTCTAGCTTTCTTACTTTTTCTGTGGGTTTTTTTTTTTTTTTGCATCTTGCAAAGATTTGTCTCATTTCATCCTTTGGTTCATACGTTGACATTTTAAGTTTGGCTATCATGTTTTTTTTATTTATAAATATTTCTTTTTTCCCTATTTCATGGATATATTTTGTACATTTATCTATTTAAGGACGGTGGTGGTAGATTTTGAGGATTTCTTTCCTCCATGGCATTTTAGAAATCAGTCTTTATGAAGTTTTATTTCTGTTATAAAGTTTCTAACTTCAGTATTCTCTGTTAAATATTTGCGTTGATTACAGTATACTCTCCCCCCTGTTAATTTCAAATCCTTTTTTCTCTGAATCTCTGTCTTAATGTGTGGATGTTTGTTTTTGATTGTTGTTGTTAGGTGTCATCCGGTCAAGTACAAGCCGTAGCGACCCTCTGAACAACAGACCTGAACCCTACCCGAGCCTGTGCCATTCTCGTAATCTCTGATACACTCAAGCTCATTGCTGAAGTCACCATGTTAGTTCACCTGGTTAAGGGTCTTCCTCTCCTTTGCTGTCCCCACCTTTCCAAGTGTAAGTCCCTTTCCAAGGAATAGCCTCTTCTTGTCTTTGATAGTAGTCATTATTTAGATGGGAGTTGATCCTTTGTTTTCTGTTTATATGAAAAGTAGAATCTAAAATCTGTGAATAGTCTTGCCACTTGTGAGTTTCACTGTAATAAGATCTTGATAAACTTTGTGAGTAGTACCATCTTGGTGTGTTTAGATTATTTGGACTCCTTAGGTTTTGTTTTCTAAAGAAGACATCTCATTACCCGTCTGGAAAGTATAGCCTTGTGTCTCAGAATTCTTGAAGATGAGTAGTAAAAGTCCTTTAGCAATGAGAATGTATACATTCATTCACTCAATCACCCTTATTTTGGGACATACTCTTACCTTCACTTCTATATAGTCCAGAGATATATTTTTCTCCAGAGAACAAAACTCAGTCTTTGGGATGACAAAAAAGTGTAGCACTAAAGAGACAATCTAGGGATGTGATCCTTTTTAAAGCAGCTTTCATCTAATTCACCTCATTTCAGTTACCACCTCCTTGCACTTCCATCATCATCTTTTCCAGAGGTACCTGGTGCTGTTAATTCCTGAGCCTTTTCAAGATTCTCCAGAGTAAGTCCAATTGGTTCTTGGCTTTCTTTACCGCAGCTTAAGATTCTGCTTTCTTGGATCTGTTAAATGAGTTACCACTTACCATTCTGCTTTTTAGCTTCTAAAATTTTGTTGTTGCTACTTCTGTTCTTGCTCTTATGTTTCATGCTTAAAAATATAATGCCTTTGTTGTAGCTTTAATGATGTCTCTGGAATGGATGAAAGAAATATATGTGTTCATACCTCCCTACTTATTCAGATATCTTATCATTATTTCTTACTACCAAGGTTTTAATAAATATTGATGTAAAGAGTTAGAAAATATACCTAGATGTAGATAGGTAGATTTGCAGGTTAAATACAATTTTGTCATCTTCACTATCACTAATGTTATTGAAACCTTGCTATATATGAAGTACATTTGTTTTTTCATTTAGTTCTTAATGCTCTTATGAGGGGGGTACTGCTATTTTCCTCATTTTGTGAATTAAGGAAAGTAGATCTTCGAGGGTGTGAAGAACACAAATAGGGTCAGACAAGATAGAAGTGAAAGGCTGATTCTAGATCCTCAATTATCTCAACCAAATGGTGAGAGTGCCTTCTTATAATAAACATCTGCTAGAGTTAAATTGCATATCCACATAAGCAAGTTTGAAAACTTAACCAGGGCAAATGACTAAATAGAAGAGAGACCATCTTCACAGTTCAGGTTGCAGGGAGTTAACCATCCACAGAGGAGCTGTAGGGGCCTTCAGTCTAGCCCTGTCAGTTTATAGAGCTGGAGTCAGGTTAGGACTTCAGAAGGCAGGGCGAGGGAGTAACAGTATTGGGAATGGTCGGGTGTTGGGAATCAGCTCCGGAGTGTTAAGTGCATGTATTTCTCCATTAAGGAAATGCATGTTGCATTATTCTGCCAGTGGACTATGAGAGGCTGGAAACCTTCTGTACTGTCTGATTCAACAAGCAATTCACAGGTTACAAACGAGATCCACGCTTATGGGTGTCTTTAAGTCCGTTTTGTAGGCAAACCAGATAGGTGATTATCATTATTATGTACTTTTACTTTAGTATACGAAGCTACTTTTCTTCCATTAGCCTTTTCAGTCATTTAAAAAGCTGCACAGGGCAGCAAGTGAAGTTGATTGTGATGAAGAATTTTGCTGAGAGTAGAGATTGATTTATTGGTTTCATCATGAGGGCAGATTCCCTTTTTAGTAAAGGGCAAGTATGAGTTGCCCAAGTTTCTGTAAATCTGGATGTTTGTAACTTGGGGACTGTTTAACAGAGTGGGCTGAATGAGAGGAGAAGTGGTAAATCACTCTTTTATTTTTCTTTAAGCTACATGAATTAAAGAATCTGAAGGAATTACAGAAACAGTACATACAAATTAATGAAGAAATCACAGAGTTACGTCCACTGAAAGCTCAGCTTCAGCAATATCAAGAGAAAGTGAAAGAATTGCAGATTGTGCAGGAACAGTGTCGGCAAGAAAATCTCTCCTGGCAACATGAATTACACCAGCTCAGGTATGATAATAGCTCTTTGCACTCCTTTTCACCTTTTTTTTTTAAAAAAAGGTTTTTTTTTATTTTGAGATAATTTTGTATTTGTGGAGTTGCAAAAATTGCCTGATGGTTCCAATGGAAACATCTTAGATAATTGCAGCACAGTAGGTAACCCACATTGGTATACTCCCTAGCCTTATTGATATCTTGCCAGTGTTACACACATTCATTGAAGTACGCGTGGAATATTCAGAAGGTAGGAAAACCAGGGAGCTTACTGCCATGCCATTCCTTCCTCCCTTGAATCTTGAGCTTAGCTCCCTTCATCTCTTAACCTTTCTGTGGTGTCTTCTGATTGTTTTAGATGTACTCTGTCTTTTCTGCAACCTGAAGTTCCAACATATATCTTTTTAAGTAACTAATAACAATGCTATTATTACAATACTGGCAATATTTTGGCAGGAAAAAAATTGACCTAGAAATTGTGATTCTGAGGGAGGTGTGTGTTTTTTCTAACAAATTTGATACAGAGATAAAAAGTAAAGAATAAATCTTTGGTAATACATAGAAAGAGATTTTGTTGTTATAACCTCATTGTTGGGATTTTATTACTGTTTAAGATGGTGTTTGCTATCTTAATAGAATCAGACTCAAAGCCTATAAGGTTTGGTGCTACAAAGAGAATCTCCTTTTTGAAAAATTCTGCTGATTTAGTAGCATCTGCTTTGTGTCTTCAAAAGTTGGGGCAAGAGGCAAACAAACTTCAGTCTGAGTTTCTTTCCAGCATAGAGGAGGCTGACAAGTTGATAGATAATAAGACAAAGATTCTCACTACTAGGACAGTTGGCAGCACCAGATGGATAGAGAAGAGATTGAGGTTATTAACAGTTACAGCTTGCTTGGCTCCACAATCAACACTCTTGGCACCAGCAGTTAGGAAATCAAAAGATGAATTACATTAGGTAAATCTACTGTCAGGCATCTTTCCAGAGTACTGAGAAGCAATGATGTCAGTCTAGAGAATCAGGTGCGCCTGCTCCAGGCCCTGGTCTTTGCAATTACTTGTAATGCCTTAGAGAGCTGGACAGTGACTAAGGATGACAGAAGAAGAATTGATGCCTTTGAGTTGTGGTGCTGGAGAAGTCTTGAACATACCATGGAAAGCCAGGAGAACAAATAGGTCTGTCTTGGAGAGGGTAAAACCAAGTCTCCTTGGAGGCTAGGATTTTAAAGCTTTGTCCCACATATTTTGGGCATGTGGCTAGAAAGGACTGACCCTTTAAGAAGGATATCATGCTCAAAAGGATGAAGGGACAGTGCAGGAGAGGGAGACCCTGGATGAGATAAATTGATACAGTAACTGGGACAATGTGGGTAGGTGTGTCAGAATCAGTGAGACTGGCTCAGGACAGGGCAGACTTAAGAACTATTGTACACAAGGTCGCTATGGATTACAGGAGACTCGACAGCACATAACAACAATAACAAGAGGGCTCTTAATGTGCAGACATAGGAGATGCATTCTTTCACAGATTGTAAGTAAGTATGCATGATAGATAGATGCTGTTCTGTCTACCCTAATGCACTACATGCTTATATACAACAGTATGAAACATTACAATGTGTCATAGCTGGCGTATTCTAGTCTTTTGTGTCTATTGTGCTCATCCATGTCACCAAGGACTTTCTTCACCCTCCCTGTGCTTCTTCAACAAAATCCTTCTCCAGCCTTTAATCCATCTGCTGTGTGCAAAACAATTGAGTCCAACAGTCAGCTGTTGTGATCTGTAAGGTTTTTATTGGATAGTATTTGGAAGGAGATCAGCAGGCCTCTCTTCTTCTCTGTCTTAATCTAGAGGGTCTAGTAAACCCTGCCACTATGGATAACCTTGCTGGTATTGGAAATACCTGTGGTATAACTTTTAGCATCACAGTAACAGGGAAGCTACGATAGTACAGCATACTGACAGATGGTAGTAGTGTTCACTAACATATTTAAGGATGTTGGTGGTAGTGGTGTTATACTGTAGAGTTGGAACTGACCTATAACTGACCACCCAGCAGTTTTCAGAGGTAGTTAATAGGAGGAGATTGCCCACCCTTCTACCAGGGAGCAGCTGGTGGCTTCGAACTACGTGCCTTTGGAATTACAGCACAGCTTCTTGCCGCCACCAGAGCTTCCTAAAAAAAAAAAATAAAAAAGTTTATACAATAGAATTTTTTTTAAAGCTTATAGAGTAAAATTACATCCCAAATTTTTAAATTTAAGTATGAACTTACTTAAAAGTTCAAATACATCTAACTCTTTACAGAAAACAAGCTACTGTGTGGTTTAAGGTCAGGAAAGATGTGCTCTGTCAGCTTGAAGGGAAGGTCCCTGTCCCTTTCAGTATCTGAGGATGGGTGTCCACAGTGGAGTTCCATGTGTCTAGATATCGTCTTCCCTTGTGTCTTCTCATCACAGGGATCTCTCATCAGAGAAGGCATTCCGCTCCCAGCTCTTATTTCTAAGGCCCCTCGTAGTGTACTTGCTACACATTAGGAAAACTTTGCTGTAACCTGAGTAAGGGTGTTATGTTGTTATTGTTATGTGCCATCAAGATGCCTACAACTCCTAGTAACCCTGTGTACAATAGCTCTGGACTCTGCTCTATTTTGTGCCAGTCTCAGTGACCCCAGTTACTGTATCAGTCCATCTCATTCAGGGTCTTACTGTCCTGTGCTGTCCCTCCACTTTTCCAAGCATAATATCGTTCTCCAAGAACTGGTTCCTCCTGGCCACATATCCAAAATATGTGGCACGGAGCTTCAGAGTCCTTGCCTCTAAGGAGAAACTTGATTTTATCCTCTCCAAGACAGACTTATTTGTTCTCTTGGTGCTCTCTGGTATGTTCAGTAGTCTTCCTGAGCACCACAACTCAAAGGCATCAATTCTTCTGTCATCCTTAGTCATTATCCAGCTCTCTGATCCATAACAAGTAATTGTGAAAACCATGGGCTGGGCTAGGCACACCTTAGTCTCTAAAATGACATCATTGCTCATTAGCACTTTAGAGAGGTCCCTGACAGCAGACTTCCCCAATGAAGTTTGTCTTTTGATTTCCTAACTAGTGCCAAGAGTGTTGATTGGGGAGCCAAGCAAGCTTAAGTTGATAACAACCTTCATCTCTTCTCCATCTATTGTTGCTGTCCATTGGCCGAGTGATGAAAATCATTGTATTCTTGATGTTGAGCTTCAAGCCATATTGAAGACTATAATCCTTGACCTGCAGCAAGTGCTTTAGGACCTCCACAGTTTGTGCAAAAAAGGTTGTGGTGTCTACATAATGTAGGTTATTGATGAGTCTTCCTCAATCCTGACACCACATTCCTCCTCATAAAGTCCAGCTTCCTGAATGATCTGTTCCACGTACAGATTGAAGAGGTGTGAACACAGGACACATCCCTGATGCACTCCTTTTCTGTTTTTGAACCACTAAGTGTTTCCTTGCTCTGTTCTGAGGACTGCTTCTTGGTCCAAGTATAGGTTGCTAATCCTCTTACAATTCTGACGTCTGATCACATCATTTCACATCATAGAAGATGGCTGCATTGTAGTACACAAATGCCAAACACAAGAATAATGGCACAGCCAAGTTGACACACATTATTATAGGACTCAATTCACTCCATGGCAGAAACCCTCCTCAGCTCTTCAAGGTTCATACTCAAAAGCAAGCTTTTTCATAAAGTACTGCCAGGACCTAGGCTAGCTAACAGAAATGTGTTTCCTTTTCTTCTGCTCCATCTTTGTGCTGTACTGTCCAATCATTTTTATAAATTTTACTCTAATTACATATTTTCTTTAATACATCCCTTCTGTGTATAGTAGTGCTTTGCATATGAGATTATTCACTTTGGCCTCACAAACAAATTTTCCCTGAGATTATTCCATGCTTTTTGTAGGGCAGAGAAGAGTGCCTGGGAGACTCATGAGAGGAGAATGAAAGAGCAGTATCTTAACACGCTCTCGGCAAAGGATCAGCAGTTGAGTCACCTGCAGAACTTACTAAGCAACCTGGGAGCTTCCACCTCCAAGACACAGAACCAAAATCAGGTGAGTAATTCCAGTGCTGTCTGTCCCTCACAGGTCACCACTACCCAGGAAAAACCAGCCTCTGCACAAGCCCACCTGCCACTATTAGACAAGTCAGCTAATGACTCCTGTGGGGTCGACGGTTTGCTCAGGGAAGGAATCCCGAACCTAACTCAAACCCATTGACACTGAGTTTCCAAGACTGTAAATCTTGGAGCACTGGTAGATTTGAACCGCCAGCTTGCCAGTAGCCCAACACTTAACACATTACCCTAAGGAATTAACACATTACCCTAAGGAATTAAGTGCTGTATATCCTAGGAGATAATTCTACCATTTGGCTGTTTATATCAGTTCACACCATGGGGAATGATATTATCATAGCATAACTGCCAAATTACAGTGTCCTGTTGTCCTGGCAGCCATCTCCAGGGACATCAGTTTCCCTAAATGAGTCACAGAACTTAGTTTATGAAAGAGAGCTTCTCAAAATGCAGCTGCATGACCCTTTAAAGGAAATGCACCGAAAGGAATTAAGGTATCAGCAAATAAATACCAAGGTAAGTGCCCATGCTGTACCCTGGGGCTCAAGTTCTTTTTCATAACTAGAGACAAGAAAGTAAGTAAGAGTCGATTCCAATGAAGCTTTAGTTGTGGCATACCTTAAAGTCCAAGTTATTTATCTCTGTCTAGAAGTTTAGTTGCTCTCCCCAGAATACCAAACATAGGACCATTCCCTTTCCTTGCCCTTCGAAGCCTTTGGAAGGGATTTGGAGATATGCAGGATTGAAGACTGAAAGAGGACATGAGGGCGATCTGGCTGCAACATCTGCAACCCATCGATTGCCAGGGCTGATTCGGCTGAAGCTGGCTGGCTAGGCGGGTGTCCCATTCCTCCCTCACTGATCCATATGCATCCTTCCCAAAGTTGCACCTGCCCCTGATAGAGGGAAGACTGTCTTTCAGTCGGGGTAGATGTGTAGCTGCGCTCCCCTTCAAAAACCCCTACATAAGCTCTCAAGACTGAAAGAGCCTTCTCCTGTAAGCAGGTGCCTCCCCCAGCATTGTATTTTGTATGTGCCACTTGATAGGTCAGAGAAAGTCCCCCTGAATTCCCAAGACTCCCCTCCATCTTTCCAGACAGGTGAGTCTGGAGCAGTAGAAGGGAAGATTTTCAGGTGTCGTTAGAAAACAAACAGGGCTGAGACATCTGTGCCAGATTGCTCTCCAGGTTCATGCTTCCTCTCGAGTGGTTCGCAGTCTCGTTAACGTCCCTTCTCATGCTTTAGTATTTGATTATTAACCATAGGAAAACAGACTGCTGTTACAATTTAATACATAGATAGCCAAAAAGAACAATATCAAGGGGATCAAGGCACCCCAGGCACAATACAGAGAATAACATTACTTTTTGTTTTGTAATCTGTTTGAAGTATTGTCAGATTGTTCTGCCAAGGGCCACAGTCAGCATATTAGGTTTTGTGTATCAAATCTGTCCTGAAACCACTCAATTTCATCTTTTAATAGAAAATTAGTTGTAGAAAATATATAAACTAATAAATGTGCCTATGTTCAATAAAATTTATTTACAAAAACAAGACAAAAAAGAGTTCAGTAGGACAGTGTCTGTCCTTTCCTCTTTTGTTTCAGTTTTCTCGGTTACTTGAGGAGACAAAGAATCTTTCAGTTCAGCCTTCTGCTGCTCCTTACAGCTTTTGCCAGAACCAGCAACACTGCAGTGCCCTTTATAATCGATGCACAGTTTTGGAGAAGCAGGTTTGAGAGCTGTAGACGATAGGAAGACGAGAGGCTAGGGAAAATATGAAATTGAGTGCAAGGGATAAAGCATAAAGAGCAACCTCTAAGAAAGTTCAAGATGAAGATTATTTAGATGTGATAGAAGAAAGTGGGAGAGAAAAGGACAACAGTAGTTGAAGTGTGAGAAAGTACTAGAGTTTATTTGAAGAAATAAACCTGTAGGGAGATTTGAGAAACAAAATAATGCAGAGCTGCTGTTGCTGCTGCTGCTGCTGCTGCTGCTGCTGCTGCTGCTGCTGCTGCTGCTGCTGCTGCTGCTAACTTTGCATAGGACTGCCCTATTGAAGTAGGAGGAGACGAGAGATTTATATAGAGATAAATCAGATGAGTAAAGAAGAGGAAGAATTTGAGGGAGAAGGTTAAACACAAAGGATCGGAGTACCATCTGAAAATTCTTGAGCCTCCACTGGAGGGAAGCAGACACTGATGAGGAGAGATTCCAGGATGGGGCTCTGGGATAACCTGAACCAAGAAAAGAGTTTCATAGAGAGAATTAATCTACTAGAAAAAAAGATTTCTCACTTTCTAGATCGGAACTTAAGGAAAATTATAATAGGACTATTCCTCCCATAGGTTTTTCGTTCTTGTTGATGTTAAGTGAGTTCTCATTGTATCCTTGTACAGTTCTATGTACATTTGCATCACTCATCTGCTAAGTTTATTCTTTTAGGTACCAAGGAATATAGTAATGACTGCTCCAGGAGCTCCTCAGGAAGGGAGTGAAGTTCACACAAAGAGTGAGCCTGAGGAACCGAAGGAGCTGCAACCAAGGTAGAGCACAGTACTTTGAACCCTGGGTGGCACTACCCATTCAGAAATCAGAGTGGTGAACTATAGTGAACAGGCCACTGTATAGATTTACTGTATCTTCCCCATCCCCGTTGTAATTTAAGTTTTACACACAAAAAATATGTTTTTTTTATTTAATTATTCATACACATTTCGTTTTGTAACTTTAGTTAGTGTCCCCACTTCTTTCCTGTGGTTCTCATTTCCATCAATCCTTCCAGCCTACCACTTTCCACTGTCTTCCTTGGGCAAATTTCTTTTTGGAAAAAATTCATAAAATTTACAAGCTGCTGGCAACTCTCACAAAGGAAAAGGAGAAGAAGGCATAACAACATGAATAAAGAATGAAATGGGTGACATCACAACAGAACTAACTGAAATAAAAAGGATAATAAGGAAATGCTCTGAAGAACTATATTGCAATAAATTTGAAAACTCAGAGGAAATGGACATATTTTTAGAAACTCACTGCTTGCCTAAACCATCCCAAGCAAAGAGAACATTTTAGCAGACTTACCACAAAAAGGGAAATGGAACAGGTCATAAAACACTCTCAACTAAAAAAGTCCCGACTCAGGTGACCTCACCAGTGAATTCGGCCAAACATTCAAAAAGCTTACACTCACTCCACTCAGCCTGTTTCAGAATGTAGGGGAAGGTGGAATACTCTTATGCTCATTCTGTACCTTTATATTATTAAAATCTTTGTGTTCCTACAATGCTCTGTAAATTTTCATACCTTATGGTCTTATGAAGATGCTGAATCCCACTTATCAGCAACCACATTCTGCAGTTAGTGATGCTGTCTGTTTTCCATCCATTCTCAGCTTTTCTGAAGTCCAAAAGCAACTGAGCAATGCTAAACAAGAGGCGAATGAATTAAGGAAACTCCTGGAAGAAGAGCGAAACCAGAGAGTGGCTGTGGAACATGAGTTCTCTGAGGCTAAGGAGCGAGTCAAAAGGTAAAACGCTGAGGAACAAAGCCCATATCTGCTTCTGATAAATTCTGATCATGTTGTTGTTATTAAGTGTCATCAAGTCAACTACAAGTCAGAATGACTCTAAGAATAACAGATCTAAATCTTGCCCTATCTTGTGCCATCCTCACCATCTCTGATGTTCTTGAGCTCATTAATTTAGCCTCTGTGTTGATCCATCTTGTTGAGGGTCTTCCTCTCGGTAGCTGACCCTCAACATTTCCAAGCATGATGTTTTTCCCCAGGGACTGGCCTCTCCTAACCACATGCCCAAAGTGTATGAGCTGACGTTCACCACCCTTGCCTTTAAGGAGCACTCTGGCTGCACTTTCCCCAGACATACTTGTTCATTCTCTTGGTAGTCTAGGGAATGTTCATTGCTCTTCTCCAACACCACAGCTCAAAGGCATCAGTTCTTCTGTCATCTTTAGTCATTGTATAACTTTCAGATGCATAGGAAGTGATTGAAAAGGCCATGGTGATTATAAACAATCACTACTTATTCCCTTGTGCTTTTCAGCAGCCAGGCTTTAGACCTTATTTGTATTTTGAGATGGCTACTATTGTTTTAGGATCATTGTAATCACCCAAGACATAACCCTTTTGGGGTTTAGGAGACTCTTGTTTTCCAATATTTATTCTTAGTAATTTTACCTACTATCCATTGACAGCTGATTTCACATCTGATAACATCTACCCATTACCTCATATCGTTATTGTTGAGATGAAAGAACTGCCTCTTTTGTCATGGGATGAGACCAGAAGAACTAGATAGTGCCTGGCTACCATTACTGAGCATTTTGATCAAAGATTCCGTAATAGAACTACTGATTAAAAGAGGATGGCTGTACCCCAAAACTCTAATATAATCTTTAAGTCATAAACCAAAAATAACCTCTGAAGTTTTTTCCTTTCTTTTTTATTTTGGATTGTTTTGCATACAAAATTTGTGTACATTGTGTTTTTTTATATACACTTTTTTATATATTCCATTATTCAGACTGTGTTTCATACAGCCATTCCCATACACTGTGTTTTATAAAATTAAATCGCCATTGATCTATGCCCACTATTACTTCATCTTTTGAGATCCCCACTAGATCCTTCCTGATTCCTTCACCCACAGCCCCTCTGAAGTTATCTTAAAATGGAACCAAAAAGATTATCCTTAAGCTTCATGTACTTTTTCCTTTTACACTGCAGTGACAAAAATGTTATTCCCTGTGGTCAAAATTGTTCAAAGACATTATCCTGTTTGTGAAGCACATATATCTAATGAAAATGCCATTTATAGATAAGTAAATATTATTACATGGATAGTGTGAATTCATAGGGAGTCTCATGGCTTAGTGGTTAGGAGTTTTGCTGCCAACCCAAAAGAACACCCTTTTACAGAGTAACTATATGAGATCATATTGACAGCAGCAACTCTGAAAGATTAGATAAGGAACCTTAGGGGGCAATGAGTTTATGTTAATGAGGAAGGAATGACACAGAAAAGAAGGGTGAGAATGTTGTACAACTTAAAGAATGTGAGCAAGTCCACTAAATTACCTGCAGGAGCTGTTGAATTGCTGTATGTTTTGCTGTGCATGTTCTCAGCAATAGTAACAAAATAAAAAGCTAAATTAGAAAAGAAAAAGAGGGAAGGAGCTAGGCTCTGCACACTGGGTTTCTAAATGCACAAATCAGATGAAGGCCTAAACATGTGCTTTCACATGAAACAAAAAAACAAACAAAATAACATTGATAGACTCTACCTCTCCCACCTCCATATAAAAGAGAAAGAATGTGGCAGTCTCACCATTGAGCAGCTGATAGACCCCTCCGCTGCAAAGACTTGATCAGATATGCTACATTACCTGTATCTTCTTTGATACAGTTGTAGTTTTTTTTCTTTAAACCAGGAAGAGACTTTATTCTAAAGAAACCTTAAATGAGCACTAAAGATTCATGGAACCCAGAGAGAGAGAGAGAGAGAGAGAGAGAGAGTGAGTGTGTGTGTGTGTGTGTGTGTGTGTGTGTGTGTGTGTGTGTGTGTGTGAGATTTAGTTAAAAGAAGATGTTCATTAAATGGAGAATTTCAATATTAAATAGGCAAATGAGCAAAAAAATGGAGCAGAAATCAGTGAAGGCTGCTGACAAATCATTTTAATTCTGAGAATGCCACAGAAATCTTTCTTATGTGATTTTGGCCCTTACTATTTAAGAAATAATTTTAAACAATATTTTTAAGTGACTTTCTCTTGAGATTTGGTTTGGTGGGAGTAAAGAGCGTAAAGTTGAGACACAAATCTGGATTTTGAATGCTGTCTCTACTTCTAATAACTCTGCCAGTGTGAGCAAGCAGTTTGACTTCTTCCAGCCTTACTTACCTCCACCTTTAAAACCTGGAGATTAAATATACGGAAGGCAGCCAGTCTGGCACCTGATATGTAGGCAGGCAGTTGCTGGTAGTTTTTACCCCCTTTTATTCTTGCCAAAGGAAAAAGGAAAATCAGGTCTGTCTGCCCTTAGACACATTGGCTGAGGGGAAGGATTGTGGTAGCAGCTATGAACCAATGCTGGAATCTTTTTCTCAACCCAGATTGGAACGCAGTGAATGGGACACTATTCAAATGGATTCCTGTGACCCCCAGGAAAAGACATTATTATTGGATATGACAAGCAGCAGTTGTCAAAGGGTAAGAAGGGAAGAAGGGTGAAGAAAAGGGGCTATACTGTCAGATAGGGCAGGCTGGAGTCCAGGAGGGGGGATGTGGAAGTCCAGCCAGTGAGTAGCTGATGGGTCTAAAACTGGCAGGGTCTGGAAGGCGGGTGCAACTCGATGGTGGAGCACCATCAACCAAGAGCCCTTTCAGTTATACCCGGATACTTTTCTGCACTGGTTGAATCAGTGTTTCCTGAACCCAAGATTGCTGAGGAGGAGGAAGGGGAACGTCCGTTTTACAGAGCTAACCCCTCTGACATAGAGATTTCTCTTTCAGACCCGGAGTGGTGTCGGATGGAAGCGGGTCCTGCGTTCCCTCTGGCATTCCCGGAACCGAGTGCCACTGCTTGCCGCCATCTACCTTCTGATGGTTCACGTTTTACTCATTCTCTGCCTCTCTGGCTATTTTTAAACTTCTTTACTACTATTTTGAACCCTGCTCCTCAAAACTTGGAATTCCCACACCCCTAGTCCTGGAACCATCAATAACAATGGAACAAGTCTTCCAGACATCTTTGGGGGTCCTGTAAAGATACTGAGGAGTGTCTTTCATCCAAGAGGATGGTTCCAATAAACTTTAAAATTCAGTATCATTTTGATTGATACTTTCTTTGCTTTACTTCACTATTTTCTCCTGTTTCTTGGGGAAGATGGCATAGACATAAAGTTTTGGGTAATGAAAACATCACCTGCAGGACATCCTGATTAAGTCTCTTAAGGAATAAGGTCAGAGCCGAGGGTTGAAACTAAATGTCATAGGGTCTGACTTTTAACTGGTTACAGAGGAGAGCAGTGTTGCTTTTGCTGGCTGTTTAGACATATTTGAGAGTCTGCGGCTCTGGGCTCTGAGGAGAAGATGCCATGGCCTGTGCCCCTGCTCCCATGAGTAATAAGGTGTTGAGTGACTCGTTCTTTTAAAGGCTGGAAGAACGGGAGCTCTGGACAGTGTCGCTGTATCAGCTGGGAATGCCTTGACTGTGCATATCCTGAGACAGTGCCTAGGGGCCGGCAGGAACAGCCCAAGTGAGGCCCTCACTCAGCCCGGAGCACCTGACCAACCAGAGTGCCCCTCCTGGCTTCCTGAAGTACCAAGCTGCTTTGCTGGTGGTGGCGGTTATTCCAGTTTCCCAGCCCCATATTCATCTGCTTTCTTTTGCAACAGTGTTCAGAGACAAAGAGAATATAAGGAATGTGACATACGTAATTACAAATCTGAGAATGAGAGCCGGAACCGAAATCCATTTGTGCCTACTCCTCTCTGCCCCACCACCCTTACCACCCATGAGTTTATTTTTTTTTCCTTTTTATGTATATGGTGTGTGTCCTGCTGTTCCTATCACCCAAAGAGAGAAAAATGTTGAACTGACTATTCTCTATACTTTGTTCTCTGGTAACATTGCGGAAATTGCATTGCAGAAATGTTCCTGAAAAACTGTAAAATAATAAACTTATTTTTATTAATATTGAATAAAGAATTGTGGTGGTATATGCTTGCTTGTGACTGTGTATGTACGTGGATAGAGGGGGATTATCTAGGAGTGGATTCAGGGGCAGAAAACTCGATGTGCTCAGGCCTGCCCCCCACCAGCCAGTACCAGTAATAGCTGCATGTTGACCTTCCAGCTTTCACGACGAGAGCTAGAGTGACGAGACAGAGTGATGAAATCCCGTTCTTTAACTGAACCAACCAGGCTGGGCCTTAGGTGATGAGGCTCAGGAAGCAGTAGAGCCGGAAATATGCAGGGAAGCCCTGATAGGGCAGTGCTTTAAACTGGGCTGCTGGTGCATAACATCTTTGACTGCTAATGAAAAGGTTGCAAGTTCAAGTTCACTCAAAAGTTCCTTAGAAGAATGGCCCTGTGGTCTACTCTCCGCCTCCCCCTCCCCCAAAAACCAGCCTAGGAACTGAAAAACCGTATGGAGCACAATTCCACTCTGGCATGCAGGAGGTAACCTTGAGTCAGAACAGCCCATCCCGAACTCTTCTCTAAATTCCTTTACAGAACAGGGGCAACTGCCACCAAATTTAAACAACACAGTCTTGGGTTTTTTTATGTGTTTTGTGGTTGAATATTTTACTTCCTTGACTCATTAAAAGCAGCATGTTGTGTGATTTCCATGGTCCTCAGAGTGTAGAGGTATTTCTTTAAAGCAGGAGGAGGAAGCTCTACTGATGCAGCCCTTAGGGATTTGCACTGTGCTGTTCAAATTCACCAGTGGCTCCATGGGAGAAAAATGGGCAGTCTCCTCCCATGCAATGTATAGTCACCGAAGAAGAATCAGCTCCTAGTTGATTCTGACTCCATGGCTCTGAGTGAGTGTGAGAGTGAAGCAGAAGGAACTGACTCAAGCTTCAGGAAGTAGCTGTGAGGACAGGGTAGCAGGAAATGACAGCAAACCTGAATACGGAACTGAAGCCACAGCTCAGAGTTCCTTGGTCTGGGTGACTGTAGCCAGAGACGGAGAGAGCTGGGTGTCGTGAGGAGCTGGGACCTGGCAGCAGACACTCTCACTGTTAGAGGTGGGTGCACTGGGCAGTGAGGGGGGTTGGAGAACATCAGTAGAAGTAAGAGAAGCTTACCTGTCTCCCAGTCCCCGGAAATAGCAAGGGACGTAGTCACTAGACTTTCTAACCTTATATGGTCAGAAGGCCAGGAAGCAAGTGGATGTGGATGATGAGCATCTTTGGAAGGGGCAGAGGAAGGGCTGGAGTCCAGGGCTCACAATTCAGCAGCCAGCCAGGACCCCAGACCAAGCAGAGAGTTGCCTGGTCCCTGCTGATCACCCACAATTCTCTCTAAGGCCTGCCCTTCTAGGAGATGAAGACCCAGTTTGTCTTTGAGGGCATTCAGGTCTCAAGAGGGGTCAAACCCACACGGAAAATAGTGTAGGAGATCAGAAGTACCAGCTAAGTGATACTAGTGCTGAGAACCAAGAAGAAGCATGAAGGTTCAGCTGGAATGGGTTTCTGTAACTGCAAGAGCCCAGAAGCTCAGAATGCCAGGAATGAAAGGGACTATATACATTAACTGTGTCTATCCATCTCATTTTTTCCCCCCAAACTGGAAAAGCTGTGAAAAAAACAATTATTCAGTGATTTATGTTAACACTGCAAGTTAATATAATTTGCCCAGCTTAGTGCCTGGTGCACAGTACATACTTGATACTTTCCTCATGTACCCCATGGGTGATCACACAGTCTTCTCACTCCCAGGTTATGAACCGAATCGAGGCTTTGAGTCAGCCTTGTCCTTCGACCCTTGGTAGTGTCCAAGATTCCTGCCCAGACACATTCCTCTATAGTCTCCTATCTCTAGAGGGCATCTCTTGACTTCCCTAGTGCTGCCCAGAGGATTGCCTCTATGTTAACATTGTTCTCTTTATTCCAAGAATAGGTGAAAGTGGGAGATTTCAGGGAGTGTTAGGGGCACAGCTGGAAAGAGAACAGGACTTCAGTCTCCAGATCGTCCTTATTGCATGCATATTCATATTGCAGAAACTTCTCCTTTCTAGTCTTCTGTATTGAAAGTCCTGTTTCTGCATCATAACCCAGGAGCCTGGGCAAGAGAACCAGACAAGGTTACAGAATCCCAGGTCTCGCTTGCCCCCATCCATAACTGACCTAGAGGGAGGGTAGGGCTCTCAGCAGGGACTCATCCCACTGTTAGGCGTCTCATTCAGAATCCCTCCACTGGCCTCTCAGCAGCTCCTTTCCCCACTCTCCTCCCAAGCCCTTTTAGAGCATGTTTCCAGGGGGTTGGTTATTCCAAGAGCATGGAATAGGGAAGGTGAAGTTTTCAAGTGGAAAACGAGGAAGTCGAGTTAGAGGGCAAATATGAACAAGACAGGAGAGAGGGAAAGAGACTGCCTTAAGACACAATGAGTGCCAGTGGGGAGGGTCTGAAGAACAGAATGAAGTGGCTGTGCAGGGGAAGATGGACAGGCACATTTTCAGGGAACACATGCCATCAGAGTTGAGAAGTCGCCATGAAGCAGGTGAGCACTGTCTCTTGTTACCTCTTTACACCAAGGGCCAGGAGCCTAGAGCTGCAGAGCCACAGTCCAGCATCTCCTGTGCGGGAGGTTGACCCAGGGATGCCTGCAGAAAAACAACTGATGCCCCTCAATTACTGCTTTTAGAGTATTTATTCTTCATCTATTTGGTTAATAAAAATGGAATTCATCTTCAGCTCTAAATATTATTTCCAATATTATATTTGAACCTGTTAGTCTCTGTCGAAATAGAATGGAACGGTTTTTAAAAGTTGGAAATAAATGACTTTGTTTCCAGTGAATAGCACTTGCCTATGCATGGAGAGCTCTGGGGGCTTAGTGGTAAGGTGTTGTGCTACCAATTCAAAGATTGGTGGTTCAAATCCACCAGCTGCTCTGTGAGATAAAGATGGGCCGTCATCTCTGTGCAATTCATTGCCTATGAAAAGTCACTGGAGGGTCAGCTACGAATTGGTCCTGACTTGATGGTACATAACAACAATAATATGATTGGTCAGGGGAGGAATTTCAGCTGGCTGCCCCTGCTGAAGGGGTGGTCTCAGAGAGGAGGTTGTCCAAGACTGCACTTGCTGTATGTGCCATCAAGTCAACTACAAATCACAGTGACCTGGAAAATAGTATCTTTAAACATTGCCCTATCCAGAGCCAACTCTCCACCTGTGACACACCTGAACCCTTTGCCACAGTCACTGTGTCTATCCATCTCATTTAGGGTCTTCCTCTCTTCTACCAGCCTTCTACCTGTCCAAGCATGATGTCCTTCAAAGGACTGGCCCCTCTTGACAACATGCCCAAAGTATGTGAGACGGGGTTTCACTAGCCTTCCCTTCAAGGAGCACTGTGGTTTCACTCTCTATAGGATAGATCTGTTTGTTCTCTTGGCAGTCTGGGAAATGTTCAATACTCTTGCTCCAGCATTGTGGATTGTAGAGAGAAACATCACTATTACTCACTTTGGCAGGAGCTGGACCAACGTATGTCACAACAGCTAGGAAAGGAATTCTCTGTAGAAGCCTATGTTCTTAGTGCCCAGGATGCCAAATAATGTTGGCTCCCCAGTGGTGCTCCTCCTTCTCACAGATGCCGCTCTGTCACTAACTAATGATGCCTGACCCAACTCTCGAAGCTGGGCACAGGTCCACAATCCCAGAAGTTTTGACAATCTGGTTGTTCAGCACTGCTTGCTATAGATCTGAAAGCTGGATAATGACTACAGATGATATAAGGAGAATCAATGCCTTTGAGTGTGGTGCTGGTGAAGAGCATTCACCATCCCATGGACTGCCAAGAGAACAAACAGGTCTGCCCTGGAGAAAGTGAAACCAGAGAGCTCCTTGGAGGCAAGGATGGTGAAACTCTTGTCTCACATACTTTGGACTTGTAAGAATGGACTAGTCCTTCAAGAAAGACATCATGTTAGAAAAGATAGAAGGTCAGCGCAAGAGAGGAAGATCCCCTCTGAGTTGGACTGACACAGTGACTGTGGCAATGGTGTCAAGTGTGTTGGAGATGACGAAGTTGACTGGGGATAGGGTGAGGTTCAGAGTAGTTGTTCATAGGGTCACTATGAGTCGTAGTCAATTCCACGGCACGTAACAACTACAAGACACCTAAGATGATTTCTCCCTAGATTCAGATTCTCATAAATAAATCCCCATTCCCTAAACTGGGCAGCAGCATTTTCACTGATGTAAAAATATTGGTAACATAATATTTGTCAATCATGTTTTTTCACTTGTACATGTCAATGAAACCAATTCCTCTATCACGCGGTGCAGTCATCCCCAACATCCACTTCCATATTTTCTCATTCCTGTAAACAGAAATGCATTGCTAGCTAAATGAAGATCTCCCCCTTTTCCCTTCACTCTTGTTCCTGGTAACTAGTGTTAAAATTTGATCTGTGTACTTTTGCCTGTTCTAAGTGTTTGAATAGTAGTGAAATCATGCACCTGATCTCTTTTTGTGATTAGTTTATTTCATTCAGCATCTGCTTTACTTTAGATGTATTCACTTGGAAAAAAAATATATGGCATAATATTTCTTTTTTTTCCAGATGGCATAATATTTCTAATATTAGGGTTATTACCTTCAGCGTTCTTTCTTTCTGTACTTCTGATTTTGTTGTCCTAATTTTTCTTGCCTCTGTCTTCCTCAGATGTGGAAGTCTGTAGTGGGGCATGATGTGTCTGTGACTTTGGAGACCCAGGGAGATGACTGGGACACAGACCCTGACTTTGTGGTGAGTTTGGGAAGCAGCTTTGCTTAGACAGTGAAGAAGCTGCTGGTGGTGGTGGTGGTGGTGGTGAATGGTGGTGGTGGGCCTTTTGAGCTGCTTTGTGAAAGGCTTTGAAAAGGACAGATAGGGACTGATACAGTTCTTGCGGGCTACTGTGAAGGCAATTTTCCATTTGGAGTTGCTGGCATAGGAGATGGAAGGAGACAAATGTAAAGAAGTCAAACTGTGTGATTGCTAATTTTTAATAGGCTATGCTCAAAGTGAGAAGCAGGTTAACCTGGGTTTCCTTTGGCCGTGGTCCAGGATTTGGGCTGGAGATGTGTGATCTGGGAGAGAAACTGAGACGTCTTAGGAGACAGGAATGTAGGAAAAGTACGAAGGATGGAGAGCAGAAAAGGAGATTTCTCTGTTCACCAGTTTAATTTTAATGTGGGCTCAGGGTTGGGTAGCCTGCAGAGGAGCCTGGATAAAAGTTTCTGACTGAAGGAGGCATCTGATGCCAGGGATGTAGGGCTCACCTGACTCGCTCTATGCCCCTAGGGTAGCACAACTCTTCCAAACACTTACTGCCAAGTACTGTCTTTTGCAGAATGACATCTCTGAGAAGGAGCAACGGTGGGGAGCCAAGACCATTGAGGGTTCCGGACGCACAGAACACATCAAGTATGTGCTGGGAGAAGTGGGGAGAGGGAAAAGAGCTGTGAAGGAAAAACTTCAGTAATACAGAGCGCAGTGGCGGTGGGCAGAAGGAAGAGAGACAGCATGTGTCTGTGTGTCTTTGTGTTGGTTTTTTCTATTCTTCTATATTTTTGCAGTTAATACATCTTTAAAGTATACTTTTTTAGGTTTCTTAAAGTTGTTATTAATTTTAATGAAAATTTAGAGACTTTGGATTTCCATTCATTCATTGTTGCACTTTTCTCCCTGACCCCTCCCCTAATTTGGTCTTCTCTTTGAAAAGTAAAAGAAAAATTCTTTCATTGTTATATAATCCCTCCCCCCAAAATCCACTCCACTTTGCAGCCTTCGTTCTGGACTCCTGTCATGACAATCATACCTAATCACATATCCCTTTTAAACAGTTTTCTCCCTCATCTGTTTCAATGCAGTATACAATATTGAACCCATATTTCTCAGGCTCCCCCGAGGTCAGTCCTGTTTTAGAACAGTGGCACTATGCAATATTTGTCCTTTCGTGACTGAGATATTTCACTCAGCATAATGACCTCCAGGGTTACCCATTTTGAATAATATTGCATGAGTTCTTTGTTTTTCAGTGCAGTGTAGTATTCCATTGTGTGAATATACCACAGCTTCTCTATCTACTCTTTTGTTGATGGGCACTTAGGTTGTTTCCAACTCCTTGCTATTGTGAACAAAGCCACAATAAACATGGGTGTGCATATATCTGCTTGGGTGGCAGTTATTTGACCCAGCAAAAGTATACTTTTTAATTTATTTTTTTCCATCCATATTGCATTTTATACAATCATTGCCATACGTTGTGTCTTCTAAAACCAATCACCATTAATCTATGCCCACTATTAATTACCCTGTCTTTTCAGGTGCACACTGGATCTTTCCTAATTCCTTCACTCCCTCCCTCAGCCCTGTGTTTTGTCATTAACCTGCCCCTGCATGTGTCATTGTATGTCATATTCTTATCCTTTTATTACCCCTTCCCTCAACCTGTTCTTTCTTCTCCTTAGTTACTTACTAGCTCATTATCCAACATTTTGAATTTGTGACAAAAGTTAAATAAAACTCAGATCTGCTATTTGATTATTTTGCATATTAACAATGTACATCTTGTAATAAAGAGTCCCGAGGTATGAGGTGAAAGTAACATTGGCTGTGGTGGTATAGGCAATGCATCTATTTTGCTGGGCTATGATTCATTCTCAGTGATTTTGCAGTTATATAAAAATGTAATCTGGATAGTTGTGTGATGAGGTAGTGAGCCACCATTTTGTTTGTGTGTGTGTTTTTAAAAATATTTTAAAAATAATTTTAATCAAAATTTACAGAGACTTTGGATTTCCATTCATTCATTTTTGCACTTTTCTCCCTGCCCACCCCCTTGCCCGGTACACTCTTCTCTTTGAAAAGTAAAAGAAATATTATTTCATTGTTATATAATCCTTCCTTCCAGGTCCCCTCCACTATGCAGCCTTCATTCTGGACTCCTGTCATGACAATAATACCTAATCACATATCTCTTTTAAACAGTTTTCTCCCTCATCCGTTTCAATCCAGTATACATAATTTATCCCATCTTCCTCAGTTTCCCCACAACCCTGATGTCAGTCCTGTTTTAAAAGAGTAGCATTATGCAGTATTTGTCCTTTGTGTGTGTTTTTTAAAAAATATAATTTATGATAGCCACCAGTATATATATATATATATGTGAAAATATCGATTTTAGTATGTTGTTGTGTACCATAGAATTGTAACTGACCTATAGCTGACCCTTCAGCGGGTTTTCAGAGGCAGTTAATCGCATGGGAAGAGACTGCTCATCCTTCTCCCACGGAGCAGCTGCTGGCCTTGAACCTTGTGCCTTCAGGATTGCAGTGCAGTTTCTTGCCACTAGACCTCCAGAGGTCCCTTCAACCTCCATTTCGTGATGCAATGTGATCACTTTCTATTTTTTCACAACACTAGTTTTTCCCATAATGACCTGGTCTTTTGGAACTTGATCATGTTGATATATGAGGAGTGAAAATGTCTGTCTTTTATTTCCAGAAAGCTTGCTAATTCCCAAAGAGTCTGTTATTAGATAAATTAACCTCCTTCCTTCCCCTCATTAGGATATGAAGTATTCAGAGAGGAAAAGAGATGTTCTGAGGTTCGAGCTAGCTATATATAAATATGTGTGTAAAATGCTGTTGGTTGTTGGTCCTATGGTGAGAAATTTCATTTCTTTGGTGTTGAGATGTAGTCTACACTGAAGGCTGTAGTTCTTGATCTTCGCAGCAAACTTTTCATGTCTTCCTTATCTTCAGCAAGCAAGGTTGTGTCATCTGTATAGTTCAGGTTTTAATGACTATTACTCCAATCCTGATGCCACATTCCCATCATAGAGTCCAGCTTCACAAATTATTTGCTCAGCATACAAACTGAATATATATGGAGAAAAGATATATCCCTGACACACACCGTTCCTATTTTAAACCTTATCTATTCTGACAACAGTTTCTTGATCTATATATAGATTTCTCATGAACACAATTAAGTGTTCTGGGATTCCTGTTCTTCTCAATGTTAGCCATATTTGTTATGGTCCATACAGTCAAATACCTTTGCAGACCTCCACAGTGATATCTCTGGTGCTGTGGTCTTTTCTAAACCTCACTTGAACTTATGGAAGTTCCCTGTAAATGCTTTTGGATTATCTTCAGCAATATTTTGCTTGCTTGTGATGTTAATAATATTTTTCTATAATTTCTACATTCTATTGGGTCACCTTTCTTGGGGATGAGAAATATGAATCTTTCCCAGTTAGTTGGCCAGGCAGCTGTCCTCCAAATTTCCTGGTGTAGACTGTAAGCATATCCAGGGCTACAGCCTTTTTTTTTTTTTTAAAGCGTGCCAATTGGTATCCCTTTAATTCTGGGCCTTATTTGAAAGTCAATACTTGCAGTGAAGCTTGAACTTCCTCCTCATTACCATTGGCTTTTGTTCATATGGTACTTCCTGAAATTTTTCAGTGTCAATTATTTTTGTTACAGAGACCGTGTTCTTTCATCTTCTTTTTTTTAGGCGAAAGATTTATTCGATCTGAAGAGAAACAAGAGTCCTTTCATCTTCTTTTGATGCCTCCTAGATCACTCATGTTTATTCCCATAGCATCTCTCAGTGTTGTAACTTGAGGATTATTTTTTCTCAGCGCTTTCATCTTGAGAAATGCTGAGCAAGTTCTTCTCTTTTTATTCTCTGACTCCAGTCCTTTACACGTTTTGTTATATTTTGGTTTGTCTTCTTAAACTGCCCTTTCAACTCTTCTCAGCTCTTTCACTTTGTCATCTCTTTCCTCTGTTAATGGCATCTCAATGCTCTGATGAAATTTTCATAGTCTCTTCTGACATCCGTTTAGGACTTTTTCTTTTTCCTTTATCTTTGTAAACTTTTGCTTGCCTCGTGGATGATATCTTTGATGTCATCCCACAACTCATCTGGTCTTCAATCACTGGTGTTCAGTGCCTCAAACCTGTTCTTGAGATGATTCTTAAATTCAGGTGGAAGAGACTGAAGCTCATATTTTGGTTTTTCTGGGCTTGTTTTTAGTTTCTTCATCTTCAGTTTGAATTTGTACACGAGTAACTGATCCTCTGTGCCACAACTGTGCTTCTCCATTGATTCTGTGTGCAGACAGAGTTAATTTGATTCCTGTGCAGTCCATCAGAGGAAGTCACCTTTTCTATATTTTTTAAAAAGTTATTTTCTATTAATAAATCGTTGAGTGCACAAAATTCAGTCTTCCTATTTCCAGCCTCATTTCTGTCACCAAATCCATGTTTTCCAACTACCATTCTTTCTTCATGGTTTCCAAATTTTGCATTCCAGTCACCAATAATTATTAATGCATTTTGATTCCATGTTTGGTCCATTTCTGACTGCAAAAGTTGGTAGAAATCTTCAATATCCTCATCTTTGGTTTTAAATATTAGTTCATATATTTGAATATTAGTCATATTGACAGTTCTTCCTTGTATGCATATGGATAGAATCCTATCACTCACAACATGGTTAGATTTTTAAATAGTCTTTTAAACAATAAATGCAACACTCCTCTTCTTCAGTTTTCATTCCTGGCATAATACATAGTATGATTTATTCAGAGTAGCTCATGCCAGTTCATCTCACCTCACCGATGCCTCGAATGTCAAAATTCATGTGTTCCATTTCACTTTTGAAAACTTCCAGTTTTCCTACATTCATACTTCGTACATTCTAAATTCTAGGTAGTAATGATTGTTTGTAGCCATTTCTCCTCATTTTTTTATGACTTCCTATCTGCACTCTTCCTCTAAAACCATAACTACCCATGGTCTTCTGTTGCTCATGTGGTTTTCGAAGGTGCATTGTTTTGAAAGTGAATGACCAATCTTTCTTCTTAGTCAGTCTTAATCTAGGAGCCCTGTTGCAATTGGAGCTGGCCGCCATGGGTCATCTTTCTGGTGCTTGAAGCACCAGTGGCATGGCTTCCGGAGTTACAGCATTCTACAAGCTGTATCATCAGTACAGCCGACTCAGAGACAAGTTGTACTGATAGAGACAAATAATAGACATGCCAGCTTATATGTTGTTGTTGTTATGTGCTGTCGAGTCGTTTGAGACTCATAGCGACCCTATGTACAACAGTCCTAAACCCTGCTCTATCCTGTGCCAATCTCACCACCTCTGGCACACCCATCCTGATTACCCCAGTCACTGAATCAATCCACCTCATACAGGGTCTTCCCCTTCTGCACCATTCCTCCACCCTCCCAAGCATGATGTCCCTCTCCAAGGACCTGTCCCTCCTTACAACATGTTCAAAGTATGTCAGACGAAGCCTCGGAATCCTTGCCTCCAAGGAGTAGCCTGGTTTAACCCTCTCCAGGATGAATCTCTTTGTTTTCTTGGCAGTCCAGGGTACATTCAATACTCTTCTCCAGCAC